AGTTACAGTGAGTAACTACCCGCCTGGCACTTAGTTAGGGGGTTTTATTCCCTCCCTAACTTCAGGGAAAAATCCCTACCTGGGGAAACAACCTTTCTCAGAGAGGTGACCTTGGTTAAAACACATAGTGCCAAGAAGGTGAGCAAACATATTAAGAAGAGTATGCCATATATGCCAGGTCCCTTGAAACAGCAAGGATGGACCAGCTCCCAGCATGCTTTCATTTCTGATTTTATTTATTTGGGTCCTCTCTCTTTTTTTCTTGATGAGTCTGGTTAAGGTTTGTCACTCTTATCTTTTCAAAAAACCAGTTCTTGGTTTCATTGATATTTTTAATTGTGTGGGGTTTTTTAGACCCTGTTTTATTTATTTCTGCTCTATCATTATTATTCCCTTCCTTCTACTCACTTTGGGCTTTGTTTGTTGTTCTTTTCTTAGTTCCCTTAAATGCAAGGTTAGATTGTATGAAATTTTTCTTGTTTCTTGAGGTAGGCCTGTAATGCTATAAATTTTCCTCTTGGGACTGCTTTCACTGTGTTCTGTAGATTTTAAGTGGTTGATTCTTATTTTCATTTGTTTCACGGTATCTTTTGATTTTTCCCTTTATCTCATTGTTAAACCACTCATTATTTAGTAACTTATTATTCAGCCTCAATGTCTTTATGTGTTTTTTGGATTTTTTTCTTGTGACTGATTTCTAGTCTCATACCATTATGGCCAGAGAAAATGCTAGATATAATTTTAATCTTGTTACATTTATTTAGACTTGTTTTGTGTCCTAAAATGTAGTCTAGCTTAGAAATATTCCATGTGTACTTGAAAGAAATGTATATTCTTCTGCTTTGGGGTGAAATGCTCTGAAGATATCAATTAAATCCATCTGATCTAGTGTGTTATTTAAGGTGGATGTTTCCTTCTTGATTTTCTACCTAGATCTGTCCACTGATGTCAATAGAAGTCTCCTACTATAGTACTCTAAGGGACATCTTAGTTTAAAGCACAGAAAAAACCTGAATGTGTATCTTGGATAAAGCCCCTTGGTAATCTGCATAAGTCTATATGTTCCATTATTATGAGCCTGAGGTGAAACCCCAATTTGAACAATTATATTTGACTAGAGGCCCAGTGCACAAAATTCATGCACAGGTAGGTTTCCTAGGCCTGGCCAGTGATCAGGGCTGATCAGAGCCTTCCTTCCCCTGGCTGCCAGCTGCTGGCTGTGGGCTGCTGGCCGGGGCCTTCCTTCATCCCACGCCACCCCCTGTGGTCAGTGCATGTCATAGCGAGCTGTTGAACTCCCAGTTGGTCAAACTCTGAAGGGGACAATTTGCATATTAGCCTTTTATTATATAGGACTAGAGACCCGATGCACAAAATTTGTGCAAGGGGCTTGGCCCACACAGCCCAGCTGCCTCGGCCCTCTGCCTCAGCCTCACAGCCTCAGCTTTGTCCAGAAGGTTATCCTGCTGTTCGGTCTAATTAGCATATAATGCCTTTATTATATAGGATTATAGTATCAAGAGCCTCAAAAGAGGCACAGGCAACAACAC